TATTTAATGTGCGTAATTGTAAAAGTGTGAAATTTTAAACAAATTAATTTGATGTTGTATTTGATTTGTTTTGCTCTTTGGTGTGCTCCATAATTTCACAAAATTTATTGTGTGTTCAAATAGCTGATTACAATTTCCTTTTTTCTGAACTTGAGTCATTTCGAACGCTGAAGCTAATATGGAGTGGTGTTATGTACTGTGTAGCACCTTGATTACCTAATAATTTGAACCATAAGTATATCGCTTTTGCTCTTGGATATCTATAAAAAAAAATCGTTTTAGTAAAATTCGGCATAAAATTTGGAATTATTTTTAGACGCCTAATTGTATACATTATTCTTTAAATTTTCTTATATAAATTAACCCATTTTGAAGTTGAAATAAAATATGAATTAAAAAAAATTTATTTCGTACATTTATTTTGAATATAGTTTTTTTTTCGAGTAACTCGAATAAATGGAAGTGTAAATATTGTATGTACTGACTCTCTTCAAATTCAGGCTTAAATTTTTGTATATCCGAATAAAAATATAAATATTTACTTGTTTTGTGTACTATACATACAAACGTAAAAACAATATAGTAAACTAGTTGTCAATAAAATTGTGATTAAACCGGTCTTATTTTTTTCTGATTTATCATGAAAATTTATATAGGGTTTCACTTTAGTTTAAGTCTCGTTCTTCTTTTAATTTTAGCATTTAAATCACGTTCATTTATTTAGTTGAGAATCATAAATTTTATTTATTTTTTCTTTATTTATTAAATTTGCCTTATACATAATTTACGTACGTAACAGGTTTTTTGTTTTTGTATTTAAATATAAGTATGTAACATGTACAACAATTCTTTTTATAAGCATAGTTCAGATTCGTGACTTACATAATTTAATTACTTTTACGAGTATGTATTACAATAATAAAAATTTCGAAAGAATTTAAAAATACCAACGTCTATAGATAAAACAATTTAAAAAATTTGAATTTTTAAAGGTGTTGATTCTATCAAATTAAAATTAAATTAAATTTAGAATTAAATATTATTTTTACACACCGAATATGTGAGCATTAAATTCTTTCCGGGTGTATAAAATTATTTTTAAAGTATGCTTTATAATAATAAAATTTCAATAATTTATTTTTGAAAGCTTCAGACAAAATCAAAGAAGATACTTTAGATGAAATATCAAGCTTAACTTTATGTATTTAAAATAATTATAAGTAAATATATTCATAGCTACTTAATTTATTCGTAATGTACTTTAGATATTTTCATCATTTACCATTTTCATCAGTACAGGTCTACGCAAATTAACGCTCTTTCTGTTAACCGTCAATTTTCAGGAATGCACCATCAGCGTCAAACGAGATGTGCTTGTATATAAGTTATGAGTAACGAGGTATATGCCTGTGTACGAAAGAAATTTTTGATAACTCAATTTACTGCATGGACTATACATTAAATATTACGACCTGGAAAGTTTTAGATTTTTAAATTTTAAAAAATTTTTTTTTATTTAAAATAAGGTGAACAAATTTATAACAATGAAATGGGAGACAAAAATACTTATTTAAGAAACATTTTAATCAGATTAAAGGAAAGGCGTACTAATTTTTCTTACACCTGTTTCACTTGCATGATATTTTTCCAATTGAATGAATATTTTCGCCAAAGAGTGTTTTTAACAAACATTGGTCTGAGATTTTCCCAAAATTTGTGATTAAATCCAAAAATATAAACTGAGATTTTAGAGGAAATGCACAGAAAAGAGAACAAAAAGTGTACTGTCGGAAATATACTCAATAGTAAAAACTATACTCATACTGCAAATATAATATGCCATACGCCATCTATGTAATCGTGAGTTTTATTTTCAAAGAAACTATTCATTTCAATAAACTTTATGTCAAATTTTGATTACAGTTCGTTGCGGGAAGTGTTAAAGAGCAAATGGTCACGAAAAAAGCATTGATTGCTTGCTGATGACCAAAAAAATTTATCATGTTAAATGACTGAAAGACATTATGAAATAAGTTGAAGGAAATTTCGAAGTTTTATTAATGACAGAACACAGTGTTAATTAGTTGGATCAAATTAAAAAGTGTTGTACGCGTCTTAAAAAGAATATAAGTATAAGCCATTCAAAAAATTCTTGTTGAACGAGCAATTCGTTGTATTAGCTGCATGAGCTTTAGGGAGATAAGGGTTCGTTTTGATTTTATAATGCTTCTGACTTTGTACATATAATATGATAAAGAATGTCGTTACGTTAAAGTCTTTATTTCTTTAGGGTTGTTATATATTAGTGGCATTGAAATATTTTGCAATTATTCTGCCTTCAATAATTTAATTAACATATTTACAAATTTGACGATATTGAATTAACGTATATCGTGTATTAATTAAAAATCGCTAATTTAATGAATAGTAAATGGTTTTAGTATGTAGGTACGATATTATTTGTGTTTTCTACATACATTTGCATATGTATATGTATATGCATGTCAACGACAATGAAAACAAAATTCAACTATATTTTTTTGACAGTAATTTTTTTAACTATGACAACAATGCCTTTGGATATTCTTTTTGTAATTGGTCCTTCTTATTTCAAGAAGGGGTTCGTGCGTGGACCTACGCGGCCATTTACTATACAAATAAGAAAGTCTATTAGCAAATTAGACACTCGACAAGTAAACCTTCCGGCAGAAAAAAGAATTTCCCCGATTGTTCCTAGGAACTGCCGTAAAAGTAGCATCTCCTCTCCCACATCAGCGGCGGATAGAAAAAGGAAACATGTTTCACATACTCCATTTCCGCAGCACCCTGGTATCTATGACATAAATCCTCTGTTGTGACTCTCAGTCCTCCCATTGATACAAGACTATAGCCCTAGCCATTTTACACGTCCAAATCCACGCTTCCAAGACCATGCCAATTTCTTTGTCTGTAATATTCTAACAACAAATACAATAAAATCCAATGACTAAATTTAATTTAAAAAAAATATTTTCTATAGCTTGCGCCACATACCAATATGCATACAAAGTAAACTTTTTTTTATTGAAAATTTTACAATTTTACTTTTTCCTTATTTACTTTTATTTCTGCACTCTTCAAGCACCAATAAATATCATTACATTTGAAAATAATTTTTTTTAATTTTTCGTCTCTCTATAGCGACTTCAGTAAGCGGCGGCTTAATTTTAGCTTAAAAAAATTATGTACAATTTTTACATTTATTTAAAGCTGAGCTTTCGGTAGAGCAAGAGAATTTTATTGAAAACATTCAAAAAACATATTAAATGAGTAAGTAAAAGTTAAAATCAAAGAAAGAGTTGTGTTGAGTTGAGATGTTCTTTTTATTTGTATATTTGTATATGAAAGGTGAGGAGGTGACGACTGAGAATGGGAATCAAGTCTTTTGTTTATTAAAACTCGTATTTATTTTGAGTATAAATAAAAATTATTATAAAATTTTGGTGATAGTGTTGGAATATATTAAAATGTACGCATGGATAGAGTTTTAACTTTTGAATATTAAAATAGCACTAGAAAAAGCTCTACTTCGATAATGTAAAAAAAAATTTTGTTTTGAAATTTTAAAAAGTAAATATTTATATACAGTTTTATAGCCTATGCCTAATATAATAGATTTACATGAAATAATTGAAAAAATTAATGTATGTATGTATATGAAATTGCAAAAAAATCTTCTGGTTCGCAGGAGTTTAACGTATATTAAAGTGCTATTTACTGCTTTGTCATATTTAAGCCGATTCATTTAAACTGATCTAAGCCGAATTCACATCTTTTTCAAACTATTACTGCTTGTTATTACTGATTGTGTATGCTTAATTGAATTTTGTAATGTTCATTTTTGTAAATTTAAATTTTAATTTAATTCTGTATGTATAATGTCTAAAGCTACAGTAAAAATAACAGTTTCAGCTTTCGTGGTGAGCAAGTATAATTTTTATTTTTTTTTGGAAATAAAATTTAAACTATAATTTAAACAAAAATATTTTTGTTGGATTAAATTCGTTTCTCTAATTGTATTTATAATTTTTGCCAGCTGTTAGTCTAACTTTACATTTCCTAAAGCTATAATTGCAAAGAAGAATCATATTGCTGGGGTAACATATTTGCTACATTTAATATATGTAGCGAAAAGTAAATGTACCACTGGTGAAGATCAAGTAAAATGATCGCAAAATAATAATAAAAGTATAGATGAGGAATTAATGGATAAAAACAAATAAAAAAAAACTTGTGTACTAACTTTTTTTTTCATATTTTTAAAATAAAGTTTTATTCTCAGCTTTACACGATCAGTTCGACAGTTCACTGTTTGATGTGATTGCATTCGGTTGAATATTTTCTCTAGCTCTTGGAATATTTTTTTTTTGGTTTTTTTTCGGGGAAATGAGAATATATAAATAAAAAAAAATTATTTTTTTTTAAATAGAAAACAAAATAGGAAATAGTAAATATTTTTGCAAAGTTTTTGTTTTTCTATTAATTAAGATTGGAAATTAAAATAAAATTTCGTTTTTGTTTTTTTCGAAATTTTCTCTATTTTTCCATTTTTAAAAATATTTTTCAATTAAATAGCAAATATAAAAGAAAAAAAAATTTTTATTTCAAGAGTTTGTGTTTTTGTTTATTTTTATTTTTTTTTTTGTGTTAAAAAAGAAAAACTTCAATTCAAAATTTTTTTTTTTCGTAATTTTATTGTGCGATTGGAATTTAAAAATAAAAAAATACTTTTAAGTTTGTTTACACTGAGTTGTTTTGATTTTTTTTTCGAATTTGACAATATAGTGTTGTTATTGAAGTTTTGAAATTTTGTGCAATTCGACAACTTGTTTTTTGGTTTTTTTTGGTGTTTTTATTTTTAAATAACTGAAAACTTACACTACTACAACCATTACTACTGATATTACTATACAAAAAAAAAAAAATTGGTATACTGTTTGTAGCGTTAAATTTTTTTTGGATTTGTCACTTATCTCACATTTTTTAGTATTTTTTAGTTTAAATTTTTACAGTAAATACAAATAATTAAGTAAATTTAAAAATTAAATAATTTATATTTAAATAAAAAAAATTTTTTGTTAAAAATAATTTGTATAGAAAAAATAATTTATAAAGAGAATTTTAAAAATTGTGGAATCGTAAAAGAAAAAGTGTATACGTTACAAATAAAAACACATAAAAGAGAGGAAAAAAGAAACAAAACAAGAGAAATTGCTTTAAAAGCTGAAGAAGTAGTGAAAGAATTCGGAACAAGTTTTATATTTTTTTTTTTTTCTGTGTATTTACTTAAAATATTTCAATTGATTGTCAATAATTCGAATCCAGAAGGAAAAACAAAAAAAAGCAAATTTTTTAATTTTGCTCTTTTAAAAATGTATGTAAATATTTTACTATTTATGTTTAATTAAAAATGCAAAATATTTGAAATTAAATTTAAAAATATTCATTTTAAAATAAAATCTTATTATTCATGCCGAATTCGCCAACTTCTGAAATTCTTTTGAGCTAGCGTATTCGATAATCAATAGTATTTGGAATTTTGTACGACAAATGGATTTATTAGCCAACTTTTTTATCCAATGACAGTAGTTTCTCTTTTCGAAGCAAATTATTGGAATAAAACTCTGTTTAACTTTTTAAAACACATTCGCTTGACTCGACAAACGTAATATAAATAAGGTTAATACATTACAACACAGAATTTGCCTTAATGCCAAATTATTATGCTATATTAATTTTGTCAAATGAAGCTCTGCAATATGAAACTAAATCAATTTGGTTATATTAGGATAGTTTATTTTGAAAGTGATCCAATTCCATTTTAAATAAGAATGAAATATTACACAGTTTGGGTCTAAAGTAACAAGAAATTTGGTTAACTTTTTATATATCATTTAAGTATATAAGTGTTAATTATGAATTAACACTTATATACTTAAAGGTAAAAGAGATTTGAATATCTCCCTATTTTGCAAAAACCATGCTAGATTTATTCATTTCTTACATAAAAAGCTATGTCTGTAAAATGTATATAAAATATAGTATGTTAAATTTGGTCCGAATATTAAAAATGAATATTTAACAAAAAAATACACAAAATACAGAATTCTCATTGGAGTCCAAGTTTTGGATTTGGAAATTCTGTATGGAAGATGACATACAATTATTTATATTTTATTTGCTTATACATATATACGAGGATTTTTTAAAGCTGTATAAAGTACGATCAAAATTTTAAGTTGGAAAAAACAGTTTACGTAATTGAAGAATTCCGAGGTCTTTTTCACTATTAACTTCTAGGCATAATATTGTAATTACTAAGTACTTCATACTTAGTAGTATCATACTTAAGTAGATATTGGGTTTTGTGTTCTTAGATATTTTTTAGAAATAAAGATTTTAAATTTTCTTTTTTTTTAATTAGGAGTGTTGTTAAGTTTAAAATTTAAAAAATAAATTTATTTAACTAGTAATATTCAAATTTTTAGCCAATATATGACGTAATAAGCCTACAAGGTCGTTATTAACAATAGACAAAATGTTTTGGGAAAAATTTTTTAGATAACCAATAAAAAAAATCAATAAAATCTATAAAAATCAATTAAATTACAATCCATTAGCATTATAAAAGATACAACTTAAATATTTTTATGTGTATAATAAATAAGTATGTGTTTCTCTTTAATTTTTAACTTTAGTCATTATAAATTTTTAAATTATAATACAATTTTGTGCGTTAAACTGAAAATACAAAATTCACTTGAATACAAAATGCATAATGCAAAAAGTAGAAATTTCAATTTGATAAAAAACAGCACGTGCTCTTAACACTTTGTATTTAAATTAATTATTTCTAGCTTTGCATATACGTATAAGATACCTAAGAAAGCATTAAAATTTAAATTATTTTTTAAATTTCTATTTTTAAATTTGAATCATTATTGCGAATTCATTGAAGTTTCTATATTAGATTTAAATTCAATAATATTTTAATTATAATGTAGATTTTCTATAGTTGTTGCATATAACATGCACCAAAATTTTTTTAATCTTGCTTATTATTTAGGTCCAGGAAAAAAATTACATGCATATATTTCACGTAAATGGTGTTCTAGGTTAAAAGAATTACAAATAAATTTTTTTTCCTATTGTTCTATATAAAGTAAAAATGTTTTGGTTTTAGATAAGTATCGATTAATTGCTAACATTCACGTATTAGTTATTGGTGCATATTTTAAATTCTAATTACAAGCTATACAGAGATAATTGTTTGTCGTATTTGTGCCTGCAAAATTATGTAAAAAAAATTCTTGAAAAGTTCAATAAATTTGTAATTTTTTATTACTTTTACTGAAAATATCCAATTTTCTTTATATTTAAAATATTAAAGCAAAATAGAGAAGTAAGTTTCCTCCCCAGGACGAAATATGTTTTTTCAAATTAAATTTAGAGTATCTGAACAACACTTATCCTAATTTCGGAATTTGTAATAAATTCAAATTCAAAATAAGATTGTGTATTATTCGAGATTAAAATTTTTTCTATAATTTATGTTTTGATTGCAGTTCTTAACTTTTGATACCCTATCTTATACGTATTAAACATAGTGAATGTTAGATTAGAAAAAATTGCAGTTACGAATTTGACAATGACCCAATGGTATGTTAAGGGAAAAGAAACAACCGACGAAAATTCATTTCAATGAATTTTGATGCTCCTTTTTTCAGTTAGTGCGGTTTTTAGGTATATATGCAATACTTGTTATATAGGCAACTATATAAGTATTCTTCAACCCAAATTTTTATTTCTCGAAAACAGATAAAGAATTTTAGATTATAGCAGAATATTTTAATTTGCAATACTGTTGCATTACAAACAAAAATTCGAAATTTTAATAATTTGTGATGTTTCATGTAGTGATGGGAAACAATTGATACCAATAACAGTTTCGATTTTATAATCAATACCATTAAATTACTTTCCACCCCAAAAATATGCAATGAATGTTGCTATATATGTTCATTTTGTCATGCAGTTATTTTTTGATTTTTATTTTAACATCAAAATCAATAAAATGTAATAGTCTTTCCAATATCGATAGTTAAGAAACGTCAATTATTTTAAAATTTGTTTGATATTTTAAAACTATCGACAGCTATCGATATATTATCAATGAAAGTCCATCACTAGTCAAAGTCAGAGATAAGACAAAACGTCTCAAACACAAAAAGTCACAATTAACCAAAAGAGCCTCAATACAAGATAAGACGTTTTGCTTTGGGACCATCACAGCATTTATAATTACAATAAACAATTAAGAATCATTGCTCATCTTATTATTTATAAAATACAGTTCCTTTATTTAATTATCAAAATTCTTATCACTTTATTTTTTAGATTTACAAATTTTTTTTTTACAAATAATTTTAATTTTATGTTTTTCTTTTAAATTTGTGATATTTAATGTATGTATGTAATTATGTATGTATATGCACATTTTTTTATTTTTTTTTGTCTGGTTGATTATGTTAGCAAAATTATTATCAAGTGCAACCGGTTATCAATGAAAATTTCATTTTTTTTTTGTATTTGTATAAGGTTAAAATTTATTTATTTGGTGTTAAAACAATAATTATGAATAACAGAAAGTAAGAATAGTTTTTTAAAACTTGTTGAATACAAAATTAAATTAAATAATTTCCAAATTTTTTTAAATTTTAAAATATGTTTTAAGTAAGTATAGAATGGTAATAATAGATTTAGTAAGCAAAAACACATACCATTTCACGTCTACACGATTTCCGAAAATTTTTAATTTCGTAATTTTCGTTGCTAATTACTTTAAGATTACATTTTTAAAATGAGTTTATTTACATTAATTTTTTAGAAATTTCATTTTCGGCCAGTAATCATTTAAACTCCTAGACAATTTTGTTTTAAATGAGCATTTCGTAGATTTGCTTGCACCACATGCTTTTTTAATGTTTAAATTTATAATTTTTAAATATTTGGATTAATTTTGGATATCAATAATTAAGTCTTATAGGTTTAGGTGTTTAACACTTTAAGAAATATTATTTCAAATCATGTTCTTCAAAATCTATAAAATTAGTTAATAATCTGTAAAATAACTAGTTTTTGCAATTGTAACCATATTGTTATTTTTAAGACAATAGAAATTTTAAGAAATTTTGTATGCTATTTTTTTTTTTTTTTCAAAATTAATTTACAAACTATTGAAATGCTTTTCATATACTTTTTTATGCAAATATTTGTGTACTAAGGGTTTTCTTAAATAACTTCACTTGAAGGTGCTTGTTACACACCTTAAAATAAATCTAAGTTTTATATGTAATCGACATCTGACATCAGATTATCATCAGATTATTAGTCAAATTTTCAAAAATCAATGTGGCACAAACTAAATTTTTTGAAAATTTTCCACTATTTATGGGATCGTTTAGCTGTGTATTGCTTTTCAAATTGAAAAGCAGTTATAGGTGAGAAATTTGTTTACAAGATATTAAAAAATTTCCTTGTCTTAGTCCTTGTTATTATGAAATGCATGAATATTATTAATTGATTTGATGCTCTATCGTTTGAACAACGATTTTAAACTAAGTTTGTCAGAATTTAAATGTTTTTTTTTAAGTTTATTGTCGTCTCATATTCCTTCTTAATTTTTAAATGTTAGTGCTTATTTTTTTATCTCTGTTATTGTGATTTTTAGAATGATTGTTTCCCTATATTTTACATTGTTTATTTAATCTTCCGGGTATTGCACGGATTGCAAGCTTTTTCCTAATTGTATCTTGTATTTAATGCCAATTTTGTTATAGTAACAAAATAATGTTACAGATTTTATTGTGTCTTTTCAATGTTCAGTAAAAAATAACTTATTGCGGTGGGCTGAAATGCGGTTTATCCTAGTCTAATGAAAAATTAGGGAAGAACTGCTTAAAGCATTAAGATTTTCATAACAATTATTTCTTTCATTATATTTTATATTTCATCTATATTTTGTAAATATATATTCGAAAAAAGCTGGTTATTATCAAAAGTTCATGGTGCAACTAAGAGTTTTTAATGGTTTCAAAATGGATAGTCTTTCAGTACATTTAGAACTTGCGCCTGAACAGTTTGTGTATAAATTTCTTCGCGCATTCTACTTATTGCTTTTTATTCAAATAAAAATTAAATGGAAATTAAATAAAAAGTTTCTATAATTTTTTAAACAATAGAAATACTGATTTATTACAATGATTTAATCAGATTAGTTAAATCTCAATAAATACAAACACTATTATACAACGCAACAAATACAATTAAAAAATTTTGTTCACATCCATTCAAATTGTTTTAGGAATTTGTTGC